TCTTAGCTTGTGCTTTTGGAATTTAATCAAACTTTCAAAACTTAGTATGTTTTAATTTGAATCTACCTATCATCTACCTATCTATCTAAACTATCTCTCATATAGTTTTCCAGTATCTATGTATCTCATCTATCTAGCTAATGTCTATTTGTGGTAATGAGACCAAACCCAGGGCATTTTATATGCTATAGAAGATGTCTACACCAAGCTACATCCTCCGCATTGTTTATTCAGATGATACTAGTTTTTAAAGTTGAATTACAGTTTTTATTATTTAAGTAATTAAAAATACTCAAACCATGACTGAAGCATAAATGAGCACTCAAACACAATGTGTAAGTGTATAATGTCAAGAGGCTCCTCCTGCCTCCGGCTCCAAGTGTTATGATTACAGGTGAAGACCACAATGTAGGCTTGGGAAATGAATGTAAAATATTTCTGTTTTTATTTACTTTTGCATTATGTATGAGAATTTGCCTGTTTATAAATATATGCATCGTGTACTTTCCTGATCCCGTGGAACTTGTAGTTACACATGGTTGTGAGCTAGGCAATGAACCAAGTCCTTTGAAAGGACGGAATATACTCTTAAACACTTAACCACCACTTAAACCGCCCAAATAGAACTTCTTTCAGACTCTGAAATAACAACAAAACCTTTTGAATAACAGATAAAGTTAAAAGGCTGAATTATTAAGAAACGCACAACAGAACAAATTTATAATATATCTAAGTCTAAACTATTGTTTGTAACAATACCTAGCATATGTTCAAGAGACAAACAAGAAAATAGAAGATGCTTTGATTGGAAAACGTTGTCAAAAGCAAAGGAAATTTCCAGTGTTACAAATGTGAAAAGATTAAGTAAGATTAAGGTTGCATCTCTGTGGCAGATCACTTGGCTAGCTTGCGTAGGGCTCTGGGTATGATACCCAAAACAAGCAAATGTGAGTGGAAAATAAAACCAAATGATTTAAAAACCTAAAACAGAATCGGGTAACAAATTCATAGGCACAAATAGCTACTATAAATCTGAAAAGATCGTGTGTTAGCCACTCAAAATGTGAATAAAGATCTCAAGCTCTCTGTTCTCATCAGATTCATCCAGCATACCCTGTAATACCATTGAAAATGTAAGGCCATTGCCAGTCGTACACTACAGGTTCTTGGATCAGGCGGTGTTTCTCCACTAGTCATAATTTGGAGCTAGTTTTTTCTAGACCTTAGTGTATCCTTCATTGCCTAAATGCCTGCATATTTTCTAAGCAGACTCATAATGCACAAAGATAGGTATTTCTGAGCATGAATGTGCTTCTTATCTAACCAATAGCACTGGTGAGTAAGAGAACTCTAATAAATGTAAACTCATATTCAGGTAAGTGATCCCCTTTGCCTACTTGAAAACACAAGTCCTAGGATGGCTAACCAATCTAGGCTGTTCTGTTGAGTAAGACAGCAGTGAGAGACAGAGGGAAGTAGGTAGGAAATTCTGAGAGATGCCAGCGGCTTTCTGTTTCTTTTTAAAGCTTTCTACATGCCTAACTTCCTTTTTAAAAAATTAATCTCTTCATGATATTTAAAGTTTTTGCTAATAAAAAAACACTAAGCATTCATAAACTTATCACAGTAATTCCACTTCGCAGAAATCTGTCTTACCTTTGGACATTCTAAAAGTATTACCAGGGAAAATACTTTGAGCGAATGTGTTGATTGCATTATTGTTTACTAAAGTGAAAGCCAGAAAATGATGCAAAGGGAAAAATGTAAGAAATGGTTAATATTTAGCATTCCTATAAAAGTCGATTTTGATTCTGAGGACATGACTCAGTCGTAAAGTTAGGAATGACTGCACACCCTTGTACTTTGAGAACTAAGAAAGTGGAGCAGAGACTTGAGGATCTCAGCAGCTTGCTGACTGGCCATTGTAGCCAATCTAGGTCTCTCTTCAGCAAGAGACCCTGTCTTGAAAAAAAATTGAAGAGACACTGAGGAAGACAATCAAATTTTCCTGTGGTTTTTACCCATAGGATTGTGGCCATGCCCACCCTCCCTCATCCCTCCCCATCCCCACCCAAAACACAAAATATTTTTGCCAATCTTAGGAACAGGAAATTAACTGTGAGATTATGTCTCCTAGAAATGTCAGAGAAGCTGCACCCATGAAGCCTCACCAGCATGGCTGCCTACATAGGAACTAAACAAAGATGACATCAATATATCATGTTTACCTCAAAAGGGGGAAGCCTGAAGAGGCCTCAACCCTAGACAAAGAACTGCAGGAATGCTGTGAGTGAGAGAAAAGTCTTGAGGAGCTTATTGAATTAAGTGAGAAGACCATAATGAAGACACCTCTTTCGTGGCTTTACCAATTTTAACTGTGCCAGAGTTTATAATACTTTATTATGATTAAGTTGACCAGCTTCAATAGATATTTTCCTATTACTACACACAATGATATTAAAATGATTAAGGCTGATTTTTTAAAACCCTATCACTATATATCACCTAATATAATCTTTTAGATACATCATTTCCCTTCAAAAATCATTTTAAATTTCCTTAGTGTAGTCTCCCTATAAGCACAGTCAACCCTCCTTGCCTTTTCCACATCTGGAAAGAATGAATATTATCCAAATTTTGAAAGACTATCACAAATTATTTTGATTTCCAAAAGCACAACTAGAGAAGACCAATTGTGCTTCAAATTCAGACTGAGAAATATGTCAATTTTAAAGGTGGTGTTTTCCAGGCAATATCTAGTAGTTAGGCACTTTATCAAATTTTTGTTCAAGCTACCTACTGGTTACTGATCAACGTGTCGATGATTCTTGAAGCTGTGGTGTTGCCAATCTTCATAACAAATTTAGCATGAGGCGATCCATTCTAAGTTATCTCAAAATACACCACAATAAAAGAATTCAGATACTGATGCAGTATGGCCCTTATGTCAGTACTGTCGGACACCTGCCTTTACTTCTGTTTTCTGTATTACCCTTGTTTACGTTCTACACATCATAGTGTATTCACTCACTGCAATGGTTTGACTATGAAATGTCCCCATAGGCAGGGTTCTTAACCATGGCATTGTTTTGTAGCTGACAGAAATTTTAGGGAACCCCCAATCGTGGGTTTCAGTAAGGAGGCCTTGACATTCTATGGGGCCTCGGATGGTAGATCAGTATTCATCCCTCACATATGAATGGACTTTGGGAGCCCATTCCCCATGGAGGGTGCTCTTTCAGCCTGGACACATGGGGGAGAGCCTAGCTGGGGTGATATGACAGACTTTAAAGATCCCCCAAGAAAGGCCTCACCCTCCCTGGAGAGCAGAGGGGTTATGGGGTGGGTGGTTTGGGGGCTGGAGCTGGGATTGACATGTGAAGCAACCTTGTTTCTAATTTAAATTTATATGCAGAGAGAGAGAGAGAGAGAGAGAGAGAGAGAGAGAGAGAGAGAGAGAGAGAGAGAGAGAGAGAGAGAGAGAGAGAGAGAGAGAGAGAGAGAGCGAGCCCTGGTTGGAAGAAATAGGCCTTTTGGGGTATGCTTTTGATGCACGTCTTAGAGTCTGGCCTTTCATATTTGTCCCTCTCTTCCCTTTTTAAGTTAGTTGCACCCTGATCCAACACACAATCTATCCCCAGTGGCATTCTGCGTACTCCCAGTATACGCAATAGGGCCAGCTGACCACGGAATAAAACCTCTGAGTAGACAATTTCTGTAAAAATTGTTCCCTTTGGGTGTGTGTCACAGTGACCAAAATCCAACACGCCATTCACATATAGGAATCGTCAGAACTAAAATATGGTGAGGCTAATGCTTATGTTGGAATTGATTACATATGTAATTCAGTCTCATAAAATGCCAGCATATCTGTGTATTAAATTTGTATCCAGTACTCACATTGTTACCTAGTAGAATGGCCCAAATCGTAGCCTGTGACTCAGAGTAACTTATCAAGGGGGCAGGAAAGATCACTTATGGAGCTGGAAGTCTGTTTGATATAACTGTAGAAAAACATCACTGGATTCTGTCAGTAGCTAGGAAGAACTCTTAGTTCCCAATGGGTACATTGAAATCAAGGGAACAAGATGGTGTCTCTTGTGTTTGGCTTCTCTCTACATTACTATATATTATTAATATCTTTCCACTGTATACCTACACGAAAACTTTGAATAGTTCTCATATTTTTCCAAAAACATGCACTGCTGGATTTAAACTCATAGCTAGCAGCACATGCATTTTCATATTTCATATCACATGCTTTCCTAAGTGTCAACTTAAACATTTCCTTAAAGGCAATTTCTATTATTGCGCTGTGTGTGTTGGTGCATGATGTACATGTGTGGGCTCACATGCCATGGCGTGCGTGCATGCGGAGAGCAGAGGACAGTTTGTGGAGTCAGTTCTCTCCGTCCGCCGTTACAAAGGTTCCAGGTACCGAACTCGGGTCATCAGGCTTGTGGCCAGCACCTCGATCACCGAGTCATCTCACAAGCCCTTTAATACTTCATCTCTTAAACTATAGTGTGCATTTCCACAGTTTAATAGCACATCTCGTATTTAAAACTTTTATTATATTAGAAACCAAAAGACACCCAGTTTTCAAGTCATTGTCACTTCAGTCCTTTGGGAAACACTTTTCAAAGTTCCTTATTCATCCCCAAAGGTCTCATTTATTAAAGGTGGAAAACAGTGTTTCTGTTTTTGCCTTCCCAGCAATTTGTACCCCACAATCAGGTTTCTCTTTGGGCACAGATAATATTTGGATTAAAGACGACAGTTCGAGTTGACAAAGCAACGCTCCTGGGGAAAAAAAAACTATTAACATGTATAAATGGATTTCCTCCCAGTATAAATACTAGCCGGCACCCTCCTGGTGCCTCAGAGCCTTCCTGATGTATATATGCAGGTAGGGGGAAGCGAATCGGCCCTTTGATACAGTAATATAATAAAAGTGATCTGGCAAGCAGCGGGTCTTACTTTTCTACTCTCTTGTGGGAATGAGTTGCCAATCTTTCACTTCGGCTGATACATTTATACCTCTGAATTCTGACGCTTCTGCAACTCTGCCTCTGATAATGCATCACAGTGCCGCTGAGTGTCTCCCAGTCTCCAACCATGCCACCAACGTGATGTCTACAGGTACAGACTTCCATGGCTGGGCCTACAACTTTCAAAGTGGATGTGATGAGTCTTTTTAGTGAATAACCTCTCTGTTCCATTTCCCTCCTCTAATTTGCGTTAGTTAAATATTAAGGATATTGCAGAAGTCCAGTTGCCTAAGGATTAAAAAAATATTAGTAAGGGTAATCATTTATGTGTTTATTAGTCTTCCTTTACAATCCAGAAGAACTTTTTCAACATAAGCAAATAGTGACCTTGAGTATTTTTCACTCTGAAATATATTTTAATGGAGATGTTTATGGATAAACATCAAAATGAAATATTCTAAAATAGTTTAATGTTAAGTAGGTACTACTACTTTATATTAAAAATGTATTTCATTTTTGAATTATACTTGCTACTGTCTTTAAACAACCATAAACCTTATAAAAATAAACCAAGAAATTTCTAACACAAACTGAAGTGAGCTTTAATGGATAAAGTAATTAAATGCTCCACTAGTATTAAAATTCATAGTATTAAACTTAGAAGAGAAAGCCAGGTAACATTTAGAGCTGAAAGTTAAACTTTCTCAAGACTAAGTTTTAGAGATAACTTTTAAATTTGTCTTTACTTGGCATTCCTAAATGAAAGTGGGGATCAAAACATGTTATCTAGGCACAAACAAGTAAATGCTCTTTGCTAATGTATTTGCACTTAATGCATAACATTGATCTCAGAGTCAGTCTACCGATATTTGGAGCCTTAGACTAACTAACCCAATTTCTTCCATGAAACAGCAATCTGTATTCACTTTTCATTGTTGAAAATTTAATTGACTCACATGGAGAAATGAAATACAATTGTATATTTGTAGAAATAAAAGTTTGGGTTTGTGATTTAAAACAAACAACTTTTTATGATAAGTAAGCAGTTTCTAAACATATGTGAAACTTTCTCATTCATGTTTGGCTAGCTTCAAATAGTCAAGAGATTAGATACATGGACTCTGGAAGCATCATTTAATTTACTAAAGATACCCATTGTTTAGTTTAAAAGATAATTTTGAGAGTGTACTGAAACATATTTGATGGAAAAATATAATAATAAAGTAATTTAATCCTACAATAATCATATAAAAGTCCCATAGATAATTTAAATAATTATAATACAATCATACTTTGAAAATAATACATTTTATAGATTGATAATTAGAAAAATAATACTACATTTTTCTAATTGACTATAAGAACAATATTGGATTATTAGGAAAGTAAAATTTTAGATTAAAATAATGATGTAGCAAAATGATGTGTATTTAAATTCTACTGATTTATTTAAAAAATACATAACAAAGCATTTAATGAATTAACCTATCTTTTATACAACTTCCTAAAATCAGAAACCTAATATCATTTAGCTCTTATAAATCAAAATAATTTGTAAAAGTTACCTTTAACTATTTTTTAATGATTCATAATTTTCCATAAAATTATTGCTCTATATACATCTGGTTAAATAGTGAATTAGAAATAGTTATTTTAATGAAAGTCCTTTGGTATTAAATGTTGCTAAGATGCATTTAATTTTTTTTAAATGAATACTGAAATTGTTCTGTGTAATCATTACATGGTAAAATTGCTTCACAACTCTTTATCAGTCACAGGCTGGAAATTTATGTAGATGTTTACAATGAAATATTGTTCTATATTTAGATGAAATGTTTTTATTCTATGAAAAGACCTCATGTCATTAATCCCTACATCATGTGTTAATATTCTCAAATACTCTTAATTACATACTCTAGATGCTATTTGTTTGTAAAAATTGTTATGCTTATTATATAACCTAATTATTATGGTATTTTATTATAAATTATATTTAGGATATGAGAGAAAAATGAGGAAGTATGTGTAGGGAAACTTTTCTTGGTAGTTTTACTGTCGAATGTCCCTGCTGTTAAAATGCTGATTTGTATTTAAAACTTCACATGTGTTTTATAGTTCATATCCTATTTCTAAACACACACAAATTATAGGAAGTATACAACTTTACTTGGGATTGTGTGTGTACACTGCCTTCAGCAATAAAGGAAGTTATTTTTTGACTGACTTTATTATTAAATTTTTTCTGTCAATTGAGTGCATGCAGAAAACCTACAAGCCCAACATAATTGGACTAACCACTATCACAGAGTTTTGAGGAAGCCCTGAAAATAGCAGTATTTTTATGATTGTATCTTAACAAGGCGTTTTTTTGTAGTAAAAGGAATAGCAAGTTCATTGACTCTGACTATTCAAGAGTCTATGTAGGTATTTGCTCTTCCAGAGACACCCTCCTTATAACACTGTGTCACACCATGATGTTCAGATGACTTTTCAGTGGTTCAGTATCTATACTGGATGGAGCCCGCAAGAATTCTATAACCCTCAAAGAGCCGGGGTCCAATCTCCTCTCACCTCTCTTCATCAGAGACTTGTAAGCACAATGTAGACCACACATAATTTCATGATATAGGATCTCATCAGTTGAGACACCTTTGGCTATTTTATCAGCTCATTAGAAAACTGCCAGTGAGGAAGAACATACATATTGCATGTAATTTAAGAATCGCATAAATGTGTAATGTTGAAATGAGTTGAATGTGTCTTGAATCCTCATACATTTTCTTACCAGTCCCGTCTATTTTGTCTTTGATCCAAACTCCTAAATGTTTGCACACGTATTTCTCGGTGACAACTATGGGAAATACAGCGACAGGACTTCATTATTCTGTGCCTTCCTGTCATTATGGAAACCAGCCATCCACCTATGGAGTGATGGCAGGTAAGAAAAAAATATTTATATGTGTTATTGGATTGGGGGATATGGTGTTGGATTTCCTAGACCAGAAGGAATGATGACAAGACTGTGTAACACGAAGTTCTGATCTTCTGACTTGGGAGGCAGCAGTAGATCTGTCACTTTTAGAAGTGTCCCCTGACCTGTGAGGCCCTCAGAAACCTAGGAGTGTGCCTGATACCCTACTCTACACAATCCTGTACTCCAGTGTTTCTGACTTTAGCTTTGTGTGGTTTTTCTGCTGTTTGTTTGCTTTTTAATTTACTGCTGTTAAACTGCTAGATGCCACTTGTTATTGCCTTTGTGGGATTCCCAGCAGCAGTACTATACTGACTAGTAGAACCCATGTGGTTACTTAAATTTGCATGAAAGTTAATTAAAAATTCAGTTTCTCTGCTAAATCAGCTCCATTCCCAGTGGCCAATACTCTCGCTTGTCTAGTGGCATCTCCATCAGACACCACGATTTGTGAAGTGTCGCCTTCGTCACCGTACTGTTTGTGTATACTCGTTCCATAAAGATAAACAGAAAACATAAACCGAAGGCTCAGCCTGATGGCCTGACTTTGGCCATGGCTATTTTAGGCTCTGGCGATCCTTCCCAGGTGGCTTCTGAAGCCTCACTGAGGAAGGTGACGTAGCACACTTCTCAGGAGACATGAAACATACCTCTTTCAAGTATAATGTCAACTCACTGGTGTCAGTGTAAACACACTGATAGCTTGACTTCCTAGAAATGTGAACACCTGCCCTGTGAGATCCACTCATTGGCGAATCCACTACTAATTTTGGGGCATGACTAACGAAAATAATTTAGTCTGTCAAAAAATATAGATTTTTGTTCACAGATGTTTGTTTTTTTATTCTGAAGGAAATACTTTAGTAGTCTCTATTTGTTGTTACAGCAGGAAACTAATTCTCATCATGGAAAAAAACAAGACCTAGCAGTAGAAAAAGGAGTTGGGGGGGGGGGAGAAACAGAGACAGTAGAAATTTGGCTCATGTATCAAAAATGAAGGAAATCTTTTAAAATGTACTTGTTTGTCCTCCAAGTAAGCAATTTTACTCAAAGAAACATAGAGATATGCTTAGAGTATTTAAATGAAATGCAACAAGTAATTTAGTTCATTAATCTCGAATTTCTCAGTAAAGCATTAAGACTTTGAAATAAAATATTGAGAATATTAACATTCCTTACATTTGGCCAAGCATCACTCCAAATAAACCAACATCTAACTGTTATGATAAGATGGCTGGTGTTTTTTAAAAACATTGAACTTGTTTTCATTCAATATTTATCATGTTCTTCCCCCTTTTTAAACAGCCCCCACACCTCTCTACTCACTTACTTCAAAGAGTTGTATTCCTAATTATTGCCTATAAACCTTGGTTTTTCTTTCTTTAAAATTATTTACTTTTAGTTTATTTGTATGGGTACTCTGTTCACATGAATGTCTGTGTACCATTTTCATACATTGCTTATAGAGGCCAAAAAATGCGATCAGGTCCTCTGGGTCTGGAATTATAAACAGTTGTAAATCACCATGTGGGAGCTGGGAATCAAAAGCAGGCTCTCTGCAAAAGTCACCAGTGTTCCTAACCCCTGAGCTGTCTCTCCAACCTGGGTTTACTTTTCAATAATTAAGGAACATCTAATGCCAAGGCTTTTTCCCATTGAAAATCCATCATCACTTAAAAACCATCTAACTAATCAGTATTTGCAAGCAAGAACAACTTCCTCAACTGATGAATGATATTTGCTGTGGATTAGCAAAATACGCTCAATTAGCTGTTGGAGTGGAAGTTGAATGCTTCCTCTAGTTTTCACAGGACCTTGAGGATCTAAACAGAAAGTAGCAAGCATGTGGTCACCTGCTGCTCTCTGCTGGAGGAAAGTTCCTTCACGTTGATTTCCAGGCCTCCCTGAGCACTGTCCTTAAAAAGGTAGCTTTTGCCTTTCGGCTTGAGTTAGTATGAAAAGCAAACCAACCAACACACAATCATTCGCATACATTTATACACTTACAGAGAGAGAGAGAGAGAGAGAGAGAGAGAGAGAGAGAGAGAGAGAGAGAGAGAGAGACCACAGACCAGTGGTTAGTTATCTCTTGTGCTAATTCCTCTGAGTATCTTCTCCCTTGCACTGCATAAAGTGGCCCACAGTTATCTAGAGAGTTTATATCTAGACGCAGAGTCCTATAATGCAGCCTGCACTAGCATTGGGGGCAGCAGGTCAGGGTCCCATTGAGAGGCAGCTGACAGCACTTGGCATAGCCTATCTCTCTCTCTCTCTCTCTCTCTCTCTCTCTCTCTCTCTCTCTCTCTCTCTCTCTCTCTCTCTGACTCTCTGTCTCTCCCTCCCTACTTCCCTCCCCCTCTCTCTTTCTCTCTTTCTTTCTTCCTTTCTTTCTTTCTGTTTCTCAACATAGCCATGGAAAAAGACCCAAGAAAGACTTTCACCATATCCAAAGTCTGGTTTAGTGACATCATGAACACAATTTTCATACCAAGATTTAGAGACGCCATTGTAGCCTTCAAATTGAATTATATTTTGTCAGTAAAACGAAATCTCACCATGGTGCACAGAGACTATATTTGAATATTTCTGAGAGGAATGTCATTAAAATATTATATGCTTTATAATTTGTCAAAATGTCTGCTTCTTGACATATATGCAGCATTAGCATGCACTTCGCTGCAGATTAAATCTTAGACAATCTGAATTTTCCTGCTTTCATTCCCAGGGAAGCTGCACAAATTGAGTCATAAAATACAGCCATTCAGAAATGAGGAAGGCAAGGTATAAAACAGACAATAGAAACCTGGCCGTGTCATTTGAATTTTCTGAAATGCAAGCCACTCCCTCAAGCTTCACAGAGCATCTTCTGGGCCAGTTTGACGCTGTAAACTCTATCAGGGGCTTCTATTGGAATAACTGTTTCAAAGGCTATGGGAAAATGTAACATGGCTGTTATATTGCCCATATTCTGATGATTTTGTTAAATTAGCTCACAGGGAAGGAAGAGATAGAGTGTTTTTTGTCAGGCTGCTGAGGAGGCTTTAGATCCTTAGATAAATTCCCTGTAGCTCAGTCCAGGCACCAGCAAGCTAAAGAGAATGGCTGTCTGGGCTGGGAACAGCAAAGAGCTGCATCACTAACTAACGAAGGAGACCTCTCTACCAAGTTCCTGTTGAAGCAGGTTTGTAATAACTCCACATTCTTCTTTTGCTCTCCTCAGATAGACTTGCGGTCATTTACTTCTTCCCCTCTACTCCGGAGTATTTAGACATAGTGTCAGCAGTGTGCAGTACATACTACAGGAGGGAATCACAGAGGTTCTTTACAACCTCTGCCAGGGAACACAGTCAAACAACCAGCAAAAGAAAAAAAAATGCTCAGCACCCGGGTGGCTGAGTCTCTGGGCTTGCTTTGGTTCTCAGCTTCTAAAGCAGAGTGACGTGTAGAAGGGAGTACATAGGTGGCTCTGTCCTCCATCCTCGGCAACTAGGCACACCAGCATCATAGCAAAGAACCAGGGCCCATTTGAGAATGCGACACAGCAACTAAGCCTTGATGGGGGGGGAGTCCTTATTTCAAAAGCACATTTTGAGAGGAAAAGAAAGGAAAGGAATAAAATGTTTTGTTTACAAGATCATGGAAACCTTTTCATTCATTCTTTTTGTTTTCTCTTTAACTTCTTGCCTTTTGGTTTTCCTCCCCCCTCCCCTCCCCTTTCTCTGTTCTGTCACCCTTCCTGTTTTCCTTTTCTTTTGTCCCAAGATGCTAGGGTTGCCCAGGGAAGAGTGGTCCTGAAGAAGGCTGGCTTTTCCCCCAGGAAAGACCGGTGCCTTTACCTTCTAGACGATGCACTGCCCTTCTCTGTCTGGAGCTGGACTGCAAACACCCTAAACTTTCTCTGCTTAGCTACCTCACTGTTCTTTCGGCTGGAAAGCAGTTCCGGCTGGGTGTGGAAACACATGGACACGGCTGTGAAAAACTAAGGAAGTGTATAAGAGGGCTCCGGCACTCCCAAGCTTTTCACAGGAGTCTTCATTCGGGTGAACGATGGCATTGCTCGATGGCACTGCGTTACCAATGTCTTGGGAAACGTTTTTGAGATTTCTGCTGCGTGGGCTCACTGTGTTCTTCAGTAATCCAGGCTTGAAAAGATCTGAAAAACAGTTCGTTATTCATACCATACCACCATTCCTCATGCTCCACAGACTGAGTCATAGGCTAGGAACAGAATTCTGTCTGATTGTGATGGTAACAGCTAGGGTGAAACGCTAAGGAAAGCAAGTTCTATGAAAATGGTGATCCAGTGGGTAGAACCATGGATACTTTACATAATGAAAACATTACAGAATGAAAAATATGTTCAATGTGTCACCACCTATCACATTTTCACTCTTGCTGTGGTTACTAAAGCTTCAGACTTGGAATTTCTTGCTCATTTTTCACGGGCTCCACTCAAGTGCCTTTTTAGAGGTGGGCTTTCTGAGGGGAATTGTAATAAGTAAGCTACCCTTGAATTTCCCTGGACTGATGCCCTGCTAATATACTTTTTAAATTATTAGTTTTGCCTGAAAGAGATTGTGCAGAGGCAACTGAATGTGTTTAAATTCAGGAGAACTTTGAAAGAAAGTTGTTTGATTTACCTGAGTACAGACTAGAGAATAAAGAAGCATTTTTCCTAAGTTAGTGGAATTCAGTTGTTAGTATTTAGGCATCTGTACTGGCCAGCTCTTGAAGTTCTAATAGGATACATCCTCAGCTGCAGCCACTAAGAGCACCACCTGTGCACATTCACTATGGTCCCTTTTAAGGGACCCTGCTCACTTTCCATCCCTCTCTTTTTATCTGTCTGTGTCTCTGTCTCTGTCTCTGTCTGTGTCTGTGTCTCTGTCTCTGTCTCTCTCTCCCTCTCTCTCTCTCCTCTCCCTCTCCTCCCCTCTCCTCTCCTCTCCGCTCTTTCTCTCTCTTTCCCTCTCTTTCTCTTTCTCTGCCTCTCTTTTATCTCTCCCACTGCTCCTGTTCTTGAAGGCTGATCTCCCCCTCCCCTCTCCCCTTTTTATGATCCCTTTCCCCTAACAAAAAACAAAAAACCCTCCACTTGAACTCTGTCCCAAGGCATCTTTCTCTGGCTCATTGCTTTTTTATTATTAGTATTACAATATCGGTTCTTGTGACTACCGTGTGGTTAAGACAGCTTCTCATCTGAAGGGAAGTTACTGACTTCCTTATCCAGAGACTTCCTAAACTGGAAATGGTGGGGAACACAAACACCCTTTCTTTTCTACTCAGTGTCATACAGAAAAGGAACCTGACAACATGAAATGGTCAGCCATGTCCTGAAGAAGACTTACAATCCCACGGGGTTGTGATGGGAATGAGGAATTGGAAGTAATGACCAGGGTGGATAGCATAAGGACACCCTCTTATTAAAGGTTATCCAGTAATTTAACTACATAATTTATAAAAGCAGCATACATTTTGTAAAAAAAACAAAAATAGTTTCTCTCTTGGGTTGAAGAGTTGGCTCAGTCAGTGGTTAATAACATTTGCTGTTCTTGCAAAGGACCAAAGCATGATTCCCAGTACCCACAAGGTGGTTCACAGCCACTGCTGACCTCAGTTTCAGGAGAAATGATGCCCTCTTCTGACTTACACAGGAACCCAGTATACAGGTGGTAATACACATACATGCAAGTAAAAATTCATACACAAAGAAATAAATAAACAAAAAATTCTTTTCTTAAACCTTTATCACACCTGGAGCGTAGCTGAATTTATTTCATGCTGTTTAATTAAACCTTTCAGAACTTATATTTTTAATTTTCATTTGAGAAGATTGTATGTTCTAATGAATAGAGTTGAGCTTTATCATTACATATTCTTACATAAATAATATCAGCTAAAAACTTGCTGACTTATACTACTATTGCTCATTAAATATATATTATTTGTAGATTTACATATTATATTTTACTAATTTCTCTAACTCATGAATGTAGTTTGGAGTATTGGTATATTTTTAATGTTTCTGAGAATAATGACTGCCTGCATAAAACTTGCTTTTAGGTGTTTATACCCATGAGATTGATCAATTATTCAATATTTGGTTATTCATGACATTTAACATAAGCAGAAGTGAAATCTCCATAATAAAAGTAGTAATTTGTCAATGAAGAAAAAGTGAAACAAATTATTGAAATTTTTCTTCTGTGCTATGTTGTTATTTAGGATTGTAAACTGAGATATCATCTACTTTCCAAGTGAACACTGATATATATATATATATATATATATATATATATATATATACATTTTTCAGCACATTCCTACTTTCTAGAATATATAATTGGTGCTGGCATCCTCTGTGGAGAATTCTGTTTCATGTCTATAGTTGTCCCCTCCTTCACATTTTATTTTTTCTTTCCTTTAAATAATTTTTAAAAAGCAACTGATTCCATTGCATTGTATACTTTTCAAGAAAGTTTCTAACAATATTCTAATAGAAGTTCTAAAGTTAACTTTTGTTTCCCCAACTCATTAAATTGCCTCAACTACATTTAGGTATTTTAATCTAAGTTGTATCTATCTTTATCAAATTTAAAAGACATGCTTACTTTTTAAATGAAGTAAAGCATTTACTATGAAAATAGTAGTGTTTATAGTACCATAAATAGAATTTCTCAGTTACAAGAATTTCTCAGTTCAGCATAGAATCCAAATACTTCATGCCTTGGTTATAGCAAACACTACAGGTCACTTCTTAAATTAATTATGAAGACAGAGATTAATGCATACAATCTGGTTAGAGCCGAGCCTCAGACTCTCAGGACTACATGCCTTTTCACATGAAAAAAAAATGGAGGAATCTTATATATTGAAAGAGAACTAGAAAATAATTTAGCTACTTAAAATTGTCTACTTCTCCTTTAACGCTAACTTTGGTTTTGTTCTCCTTGGGGAGGTGGAAGGCAAATAGTCTCATGCCAACTAACAACTTACTCTGGGTCCTGCTTTAGGACACTGAATGTAAGCTAAGGTGTAAAAGTTAAGATTGAACCAATGTGGCATTAAGGATAAAGTAAACATCTGGGAGACCGAGCACCAGGACTGCACAAGCTCCAGGGCAGTCTGGACTTTACTGCAAAGTCCTGCATTGCAAACAAATTGAGAGGCATGATGGACAACACTAGCAGAGAGTGTTGCTGGTAGAGAAATAGAAGCAGTTACCAACAGTCCTTTCCTCTCTCTATCCACAGGTAGTTTAACCCCTTGTCTTTACAAGTTCCCAGATCACACTCTGACTCATGGGTTCCCTGCCCTGCACCAGCCTCTCCTGGCTGAGGACCCCACAACCTCTGAATTCAAGCAGGAACTCAGGCGGAAAAGTAAATTGGTTGAAGAGCCAATAGACATGGATTCGCCAGAAATCCGAGAACTTGAGCAATTTGCCAACGAGTTTAAAGTGAGAAGAATTAAATTAGGTATGCCTTTGTTCACTCTGATGGGTCAAACAACGAATTTGCAAATCCTACTCTATTTACTGGGAAATACTTTATTCTCTGCTTGAAAGCCCAATATGCTTTGCATTCTCTGTCTCTCCTGTGCATTTAACCTAGTCAAATCGGGAAAACTAAAACTCATCAAAAGCCTTCAAATTCCTTGTACATTTTTCACAGAATAAAAGCATGGATTTTTAAGTTAATGTTACTTTTTAGTATTTAGCCCACCTCAAGATTAGCTTTAAACTATCCTTTTATTTAACAATTGACTTGAAATTTTGAGTAGATACCTCATATGATTTGAAATGATGAAAGAGTTTAAAGAACATTGCAGCATCTGCGTGTCTTCTTCACCATTGTTAGTTTCTTGGGTATCTTTCTAGAAATATCTTCTTACACATCTATAAGCAAGTTCATAAATTCTTTTGAACTGCCCTCCTATAAACATAAATACACAAGTTTATTTAGCTAGGTCTCTTACATGGTTTTAATCTCTTAGTGATGAAAACAAGGCCACAGTTATCAACTCTATAAATGCAGTTTTGCATCTATATAGACATGTGAACAGAAAATGTTGGCACCAAATTGTCAATTTAATACAAATGCACTTTGATAGATGATGTCAAACTCATCTCTGCAGAATTTTACCATTACAAATATCTCTTCTGTCTCCAGCAGAGAGCAAATGACCAGATTATGAAATGATTAAACAGTGGCTGAAGGATCAGTGTGCTCTTAATTTTTGGGACTTTTGAAAACACAAAGTGGCAGGACAGTGTAGTTTTAGTTAAAATGGTACATTTTAAATTACTTTTTTTCATTACTCTTTAACAATCATCTGTATTTCCCTTTCTGGCAACTGTTTATTCCAAGCCACTGCTCATTTTCTATTGAAAAGTATTTTTAAAATAGAATAACCATTATAACTAATTGTGGTTCACATTCATGAGAGAATGTGTTTTTTAATGGATTGAAATAATAGTTCAAACCTCTGAACTGGTGGAATGAGCCATAGGTAATTTATAATAACGTTTATTGATGCACATCATATGCAATCATGTTGTACATATAGGTATATAGCTCTAGGCCCTGAAATAATATGTACTGAATACATGTAATAAACAGCAGGAGACATCATTATCATACTTATTTTCAATTCTGCTTATATTGCTGTGGATGTTTAAAAATTATATGTTGATGGCTTATTTTACCTTATATTCTAGTAATGTTTGGGGCAATTAAAAAAGACCTTTTGCTAGGAGACAGATATATTACCAAGTAATACAATAAATGTGTTTGAAGTTATGCATACAATGTGGAACCATAGGCATCCTGTTTTGAATGAATTGCTTTTAGGCAAAGCAAGCCTCAATCTTAGTTTTATTTGGCATAACAATATATTGTTGAAATTTTTTTCATACCCAAAAATATGCTTGATCTATCACTGTGTATTTTGCACACTATAATCAATGGGTCAAATATTTTGAGCACATGTATCAGATTTGATAATCATGATAAAAAAGCCAAGAATTTCTAAGTTCATTATCAAGTGTTATGACATGCACATGGTATCTGTTCATTGCTGCCATTATCTTCGCATGTGAGTCCTTTCACTTTAAGAGAAAAAGAAATTTATTATGTAGAGGAACATTTCAGTGTACTTTACAATTATATGCTAAACCTAAATAATTCCAAATTACAAGACTATGGAATTTTTAGAGAGTAATGCACAATGATTCAAGCTTGTGTGGTAATGGATCCACCCTGATCTTCTGGTGACCTGGAGATAAGACGGTCTCTCGCCTGTTCGCAGGATACACCCAGACAAACGTGGGCGAAGCTCTGGCAGCTGTGCATGGCTCAGAATTCAGCCAAACAACCATCTGCCGATTTGAAAACTTGCAGCTCAGTTTCAAAAATGCATGTAAACTGAAAGCAATATTATCCAAGTGGCTGGAGGAAGCCGAGCAAGTCGGAGGTATTGGGCAAATCTGTGCAGCCAGTGTTGTGGTGCAGTCCCAAAACGACCGCTAGGGACAGGGACGGGGCAGCAGGATGTAAACTGAAAAAGGGCTTTGAGGGCTTTTTCATCCCTTTGAAATGAAAAATAAGTATCTTGATAGAGAGCAATGTAATCCAAGTGTAGGAGTAAGTAAACCAAGGAAGTACAAGCTGAGTGAAGAAGCTTTCTAGAAAACAGAATATCGGCAGAAAGTACTGAGAATACTTTAATGTCCACATTTCCGGGACCTTATGATATCCGGAGTAACTTACAGGAGCCACTTTTACAACCTGATATTAGTGTTCACACCAGTTTGTTAAACAAATACTATCATAAAAATAAAAGCTCGGTATTTCAACACGCGCGCGCGTGCACACACAGTAATTAATTTACTTGAGAAAGAACTGGATGTGTGGGGCTGGAGGGACAGACCAGGTCTCCAGAGCACACACTTCGCGGTCAGCGGATTGGAGTTTAGTTCCCAGCACCCACATCCTGCAGCTCATACCACCCATAATCCCAGCTTCCAGGGATCTAATGCCCTCTTCCGGCTGCCACGGGACACCTGTACTCATATACCCATAACTACACACACACACACACACACACACACACACACACACACACACACACACACACTTGAGCATTTAAAAAAAAAGAATGAGACTTGGAAGCATTTACAATGAACGTTCTAACAGAAAGTGATCATAGGATTTGCAAAAACCTAGTTTTTTTTACCAGATTTACATTTATTGTGCTTTAGTACTTTTTTCCTATCAAATGCAATGTAAGATGGCCTAACTTACAAATATTCAAGACAGAGATGCATTATTTTATATGGAAAAATCAACCCCAAACTGCTAGTTTAAAATTACCTCCTATTTTTATTTTCTCTTTCCCACATCACAGCTTTGTACAATGAAAAAGTGGGAGCGAATGAGAGGAAAAGGAAGCGGAGAACAACTATCAGGTATTCTTCTGAGATAATAAATTTACTAGAGAAAGAAAAAAACATGGAATCAGCATTTAAGTATAGCTTACAACACATGAGGTAAATAAAAATAATTGATGAAACAAGAAATGCTTAAAAAACACATTCATAAGAAATGAAGGTGGTATTTATTAACATTTCATGCACAAATAAAAACATGTATTGTTTAATTCATTGCTTTGACACAGACTAAAAATGGAAGCCAAACAATTCACTGATGTCCCTTTAGATACGAGTTCTCAACCTGCTAATGCAGTATCTTGATTAAAAATAACAAAACCAGTGTGTCAGTCTAAGATCTATCATGATCCCTTCATTACAACCGTGACGGATATTTAGCGATGCCTTTCTTTCTGTGAGGTACTGATAGGAAATAGCAGAAGGTTTATCTCAGGTAGTTGTCAATTGCACATTTCCTGCATTATAAACCCTGGGGATGACTGAGTGTGAGGGGTGTGGGGGAAGGGGGGAGGGTGGTGGGGAGGATTGGGGGGTGGGCCGGCGATGAGTAGGCAGGGAGGAGTTGTACTTTGAAAGTCCCACAATTCCTTTTCTTTGTCAAGAACTTGGTGCCCCCTTGTGGCCTAAAGTGAGAGAATCTGGGTTTCCTCGGTTTTTTTTTTTTTAATTATTTTAATTTTAAGTAGCTAGTTTTACATGTCAATCCCAGTTCCCTCTCCCTCCCCTCCTCCTGCTCCCCCCATCCCCCCCAGCCTCCCACCCTATCCCCACTTCCTTCCACATAGGGGATATCCAGAGTCTGTCATTTCATTCAGGGCAGGGTTTCCTAGTTTTTGCCTAAGATTTTTGGTAAGGTTGTCTGGAGAAAGACATGCCTCTGGGTTTAAAAAAAAAAAAAGTCATTGGCTCTAGAATCTATGAGTTACTTCCGCTGGTAATATTTAGAAAGTTAAGCTTCATTTTTTTTTTCCGACTACTTCATTGAAAGACACAACTTCATCCCAGACTCTATTCTCCATCCCCCCCCCCGTCCCCACCCCCCCAGTATTGCCGCTAAGGATGCCCTGGAGAGGCACTTCGGACAGCAGAGCAAGCCTTCCTCTCAGGACATCATGCGGATGGCTGAAGAACTTAACCTTGAGAAAGAAGTAGTCAGAGTCTGGTTTTGCAACCGAAGGCAGCGAGAGAAACGGGTGAAAACCAGTCTGAACCAAAGTCTCTTCTCGATTTCGAAGGAGCATCTCGAGTGCAGATAAGACTTGCCTGTGGTGGCCGTTTACGTGTTTTCCACTCCTCTCAGTTTGCAGGCAAAATCAGGAGTTACTCACGCGCTTAGCTTCAAACACTAGATTAAATCAGTAACTTCGGCAGTTTTTTAAAGACTCAATGACTTAAGCTGAGATATTTAATTGTTCTTAGAATTCAGTGTTTATTTGCATCCTCCCATCCCCAGGACCTCATCTATTCTGCCTCTTCATGTAACACACACAACTATGGGGTGGGACAGCATATATGTATCTTAGCTTTAGTGTAAAATTTCCCTTTGTAAGTCAATTTATTTTGTTTTAAATTTTTAACAAGTAAGGACAAATATTTATAGAATATCAACCATGGAAAGTACACATTGAGAATGTATCGACATGCTTGGAGAGCTGGCTCAGTGGTTAAGAGCGATTGTTGGTTTCCCAGAGAGCCGGGGTTAGACACCGTTTCCACAGGAGTCCAATAGCTCTTCTAGCCTTCATGGGCACCAGGCATGTACGAACACACACGTAGGCAAAAATCCCACACACACAAAGTAAAAATAAATTTAAAAATGAAAAAGTATGTTGGTTTTTATTAGGTATTCCACTAACCCTAAAGATTTCTTGAGTAAATTTTGAAGAGCAAGAGGTGACTAAGAATTTTACCATTGCCTTCAAAAATAATCTTCAGTTAGAACCCACTGATACCTTTGAAGTTATCATGTAGGACTGGTTCCTAAACAAACGTCATTTTGAAAGATTTGAAGGAACACTGAGGCATGATGTCTATATTCTTTCATAAACATTAACTTTATTCTGTTCTGCTCCGGAAAATGTAAAAGCTGGGAGCTTAAGCCCAGTGACAGAGTAATCCCAGTATGTTTCAGATACTGGGATCAGTCCTGATAACAACTGAAATTGGAAAACAAAAATATATTTAGTGACTCCCGACCTCTGTCTTTTGTCTGTAATCTCTAACGGGGCAAGAATACCCATGTCATTTACTGTTATTTCCCCGGTGACAAGAAAAGTGCTGGCTTATACCAGGTATCTCTAAACTGGGCTAAAGGGATGGGATGTATAATGAAAGGCTACAAATATGAAGGGTGCCAGCCAACTTGAAAAATGTTATTTCTGAAGTCTCAGTGTGGAAACGCACTTAAGGTCCTTTAACAATGTGTCAATTTTGGTGTCAATGGTTACAACATGCTTTATTATTAGTAAAAGTTGGAAATATTGACTTTTCAATTCTCAGGATTATAACAAGGAGGATATTTGTCGATTCAGAAACTTGTAAGTAGAAGCAACTAATGTGGTACAAATCTAGACTAGCCACTGTGGTGTTTTGAATGTCAGTCCTCTGGCAATAAAATCTAATCTATTCTGTGTAACAGGAGTGAACTTAGGTGAGAATTTAATGGTTAAGCATACTAGCCAAATAAATTATACCATCCAATGTCATATATTTTTATTTTATTTTTTATTAATTAAAACGACCATTTGTTTTACATCCCCACTACCGTCTCCCCTCCCTCCTCTCCTCCATTCCCTCTCCCAGTACTAAAGCAGGGCCTGATGGAAGCAAGCTTGTAATCCCAGCCACTATCATGGCCAGCGTGGATCTCAAATTCAAAGTTTACCTGGCTACAGAGTGAATTCGACTCAGTAAGACTAAAAAGAAAAGGAGAAGAGGGCCAGGGGCATACTCAGTTCCATACACAGATAGTTTCCAAACAAGTGATCCAAACTGAGGCACAGGTACTACATCTAACCTGTATTGGGTGCACCTCAAGAATTCCAAATGATTGTCTTTCAGATGTAAGATTCTCTGGATAACGATTATTTTTTAAAAATTGGTTAAAACACATAAGTTTTCAAATGGTAGTATCATTGCATATCCATGTGCACACACACATGTAAAATCTCACATTGTACTTTGAAATCTTAAATAGAAGCAAAATTCAATTCAATATACACCTAGACCAGTTGCCTAATTATGTTTTAATTATCGATCTGGTGGAAATGTTTAAGATGATTTATGTGAAAAATATATGTGATTAGAACATAACTATATGTTTATAATGTTATCTTTTCAAGTTTACACATGATTAGTAGACTCATTTACATCAATCTATTCTGATACTATTTTCTAGCCATATTTAATATTCTATTAGATTTTTAACCTTTAACCCAGAGAGGCCCTGGCAAACTAAGCAATAGTGGAGAGACTACATTAATAGCCCCTCGCTGATGATAAGGTTAATGACTACCTTATATGCCATCCTAGAATCTTCATCCAGTTTCTGATGGAAGCAGAGACAGATACCCACAGCTAAACACTGAACTGAATCCCTGGAATCCAGTGACAGAGATGGAGGAGTGATGACCAAAGGGGTCAAGACCGTGCTGGTGAAACCCACAAAGACAGCTGACCAGACAAGGGGGAGCTCTTGAACCCCAAACTGATGGCTGAGAGGCCAACAGGGGACTGATCCATAATCCATGAATGTAGTCTCAGTGAGGAGGCCTCAGAAATCACTGGGGCCTTGTGTAATCAGTGTTCACCATGACATACAAATGAATTTGGGAGCCCATTCCACATGGAGGGATGCCCTCTCTGCCTGGACACATGGGGAAGGGCCTAGGTCCTGCCCTGGATGAAATGACAGACTCAGGAGATTCACCCCAAAGAGGGCCTCACCCTCCCTGGGGAATGATGTGGGGATTGGGCCAGGTCTTGGGGGGGGGCTGGTGGAGGGACAACGGAGGAGGGGTGGGAGAGGGAGCTGGGATTGACATGTGAAGCATGCATGTTTCTAATTTAAATAAAAACATATGAGAAAAAAATAATTAGAATTAAAAAAAGAGAGGCCTAATGTTATATAGAGTCCTAAAATGTAATTAAGGAAATGACAAATACAACTCACTGTTCAGATTCTGGGGAAGAAATATCAAAGGCAGACAAGCTGCATAGACTTTCTATTTTATGTCCTGTGGGCTATACAATGTATGCCTCCAGGAATCCAGTGGGGAAATCATTAAAATGGAAGAAAGGTCTGTTCATTGCTTCTAACAACATTAAAGATTACCTAACAGAAATGGCTGAAAAACACGTGCATGCAATGTGCCTTTTGTCTCGAATGGTGGAAAGGTATTTTGTAAAATCGTTTCAGAGTCTGGGGATGGGAAAGTGTGTGCCTTCAAGGTCTGAAGTACAATGGAGGGAATGTGTTGCTGCTTCATCATCTAGACTTCTTTTGCTTCTTTTAAAGGAATTACGGTGAAAGAATCATTTTCCTCAGCTGCTATCAAAGCAAAATTGGAAAACTCAACTTTTTCTGCTGCTGAGAAACTTTTCCGTATTAAGGAGAAAATTATAGGTCTCTTTTCAGACCTTGCTAAACTGAAGTCGGAGTAATTTTAAATTAGGTACACAGAATTCAGGCCAGAAATGTGGAAATTGGGCTTGTGGGGAGCATGCATCCTACCAAAGGAAGGCTGTTTCTATGGACGTTCAAAGAGGGAATAAAATAGAAATGACTGAAAGCCAAATAACAATGCCACAGACTGCTAGCCTCTCCTCTCTGCTCCATATAATTCAGTTTTGAGCATTAACCCAAGCCCTGCCTGTCAGGCACTCTCTTCCAGCACCAACTACACTCTGTGTAACACAACCTGCCACATGGTCATTTTATGCTTCCTAATACCAAGTGTCACCATCATTTGTAGTGGCATGCTGTTGGGAGGCCCTGCCGGTTTTAGGTTGCAGTCTACCATGTCCTGGCAGCTCTCTCCAAGCTCAGCAACATGAAGGACTCCCTCCACAGTGAGGATTCCTGCTTCCTACCTGCCCTTATTTAGAGAATGTCTCTGCCCAGATGCCTGACTTATCTCTAGCTTGACCTATGACAGAAGCTTTCCCCACTGCTGCCGGTATATTCCATATACTTGGAAGAGTTGAGATGGTTTTGTGAAGTCACTTCCCAGAGGGTTGTCTTCATCATGTCTACAGCCATCCAAACCCCGTTTCCCACTTCTGACCCCTGAGAAATAAGATGAACCACAGCATGTCCATATACATGCCATTGCTCTGGTCCTCTGAAATCTCCTCCATCCATGACCCGGGTGGACCTCTTTTCCTAGCATAGACACTGCTGTGTTCCTCGGCCCCCTTCTCACTCCCAAGCCCACGCTAAACAAATCCTGTTACCAACAGAGGAAAGACTTTAAAAGTGATTTCTGTTGTGCTCAACCAATAGAAATCAGTAAAGGGAACTCTTACTTTTAGCAAAAGAGAAGTTACTAACAGATTTGCTATGACTGTAGTGCATTGATTGATACAGTCAAGTCAGAATAATTTCACTATCATTGTGGGTCCACAGGTCTGTGTATCTGTATTTGACTAAAATAGAAGCAAGTATTTCATACTTGTATACTTGAAAACATAACACGGAAATGGAGACTGGAGGAAAGAAATGATCAGGTTTGTTTTCACTGGAAACTACTACTTGTTGGGCTTGCTCCACTGGCAAAAAACAATTTTCAGTTCTTAAAAAAGACATTTTCTGTGGTTTTATAAAATTGAAGTATCACAGCAATCTGAACTTCCTTACAGAAAAATAGCAAAAATTATTCTGTTTAAACTACTACATATATGCAAAACAGACAAAAACAAAGTAAAGGAGCTAAGAAAAAATGGGTAAGAACAATAAATGTTTATTGATTTTTTAAGACAAAAATAATCTTAAAACTCAAAGATCCCACATGTAAACAAGAAAGTAAATTAGGTTAGACAACATTACTATGTACAACCAAAACAGGTTTGGGTGCAATACAGTACGATGTTTGAACTCCTTCCCCTTCAGGGAAAACTTGAATTGTACACTTGAGACCATCAGTGCTGTTACTACTCTCTGAACACAAGATGCTTATGGATTCTGAAGCAGATGGCGAAGCTTCTGCTCCTTGCACTATCTGTGCCATATCTAAAGTCACAGTATGTGTCTGCCTTGTTTTCCACCAGCCCAAAGGTCCAACCCCTGGGATTAGACAGGTTACACTGATCGGAGTTTCCAGTTTCTGTGTTGGGATGTGCCAGAATCCATATATTACAACATCATTCTTCAAAACTAACCTAATTCTAAATTCTACTTCTAACTCTGTGGAGCCGTCCCTTTCTCCTGCTGTCTATAGGACATAGCTAACTCACTTTTCAAATTACTGCTAAAACAATGACGCAATTTAGGCAGCGAGTTCTGACAAAGTTGTAGTTTATTTACCAAAAACAAAGCAAAACAAAAATGCTCTTACTTTAGAAATCTAGGTCAAGTATTGTCATTGTAGTAGTACTTCATTTAGAAGAATGGCTTCAATTTAGAGGATTTAATGTGTATATTAATACAATTCAAAATTCAACACAGACTAAGTTATAATTCATATGGAGAAAGTCTCAGTTCTTGGAAGAAAGACCAAAGTGTGGTTTCATTACTATAAAATGTGATTAATTCAGCATCTTCTTTCTTCATTTTGCCAATTATATCCATTTCACTTTTATAAGCTTTGCAACACAGCTTGGGTAACTGTTCGAAGTCTCAGTTTTATTTTAAAATGTAATTCTCTTTTTGCCAGTTAAAATAATTTAAAGATGTGCACAATATGTTTGTGCTATTTAAGGCAGGTGCCAAGCACATTTTGAAAGGTAATAAACTTACCAACTAGAATGTTCTCCCAAAGGGGGAAAAATGGAAGAAAAGTAAAAGCTCATGACAGTTTTTAAGACAGATGTTTAAATAGCACTCTTTAGATGATTTAAAAATAATTTGGCAGCTGCACTGCCTGTGGTTCTAACATAACTGTCTACAAAGGACACGCAACAGATACAGAATTAATGATATACCTTTAATATGTTTACAAGTCTCTTTAAGTTGGTGCCTAATGGCATTTAACAAGAACTCTGATTTCGGTGTAAAAAGATTTAGAACACACCCCGACACTATGTAATGACACCACTTCTCTACGCCATGCAGAAAGAACTCAGTTTGCATACATCATCAGACCTTCGTGGTTCTAGTCAACAACCAAACTGTTCCCATTTTGTGTCACTGGAATTCTTTGGCAAAAAGTTCAAAATAGCCATGGGTCAGGAAACAACTGTTCACTCATGGTCTTCATTTTTGCAAAATGAATGCGTTTTGTAAAAGGAATCTGCACTGGACCCACTGTAGGTCAAATAATTGTAAGAAAGTGGCAACAGTATGGCTTGGTGATCTAATCTACCCCCAAAGCCTTGAGTTGCCGTTCAATCTCTTCATCAGAGATGGTTGCCTTTGAGGTGGAGGCAGACGGTAAGCTTCTGGAAGCCGACGGTGCTTTGGCCATCTATATCACAGACAAAAATGAGAGAGAGAAAACGTTAGCAAGTTTCTGAACGGGAACAGAGGACACACGTTCTGCTGACTCACATGGAAAATCATGCAGCGAGCACTAACAGACAAAAGCTGTTCTCATTACGAATAGAAGCTATTCCCACCTTTCCAGAGATTTCAATTCCGATTTCATCAAGAACTTGATTCACAATGTCCTGGCTTTCTTCTTCATCATCAGAACCATCAAAGATGTCATCAAGGGTGTCATTGACTTGGAGAGAAGAGAAAGGGAACAAAGAGATTATTTTCAAGTGTGTTACAAGTTAAATTTATATTTGTGAACAATAGTCAAACTATACATATATGTTTTTAATGATTAAAAATCAAACTTAGGGGAACCAACAAACCATAAAACTCATGTTTTAAGTGTCAATCAGTTATAATGATAAATAATTTCTGAGCCAATACTTTTGGAATGATGTCATTTTTTTGCTTTTTGTTTTTTGTTTTCTTTTTGGTTTTTTCAAGACAGAGTTTCTCTTTATTTGTTTTGGAGGCTGTCCTGGAACTCACTCTGTAGACCAGGGTGGCCTCGAACTCACAGAAATTCTCCTACCTCTGGCTTCCGAGTGCTGGGATTAAAGGCGTGCACCACCAACGCCCGGCGAATGATGCCATTTTTAACATCCAATCCAGTAATAAAAGAGACCTCAGCAATACTGTGATCACTATGCACAGGGCCCCGAGTTCAAGCTCCAGCACCAGAAAAAAAGGATAAAGTGATTTCTAAAACTAGATCTTGAACAGACATAACCCATGTGACAGTTATGGCTCCAGGCTCATAGTTTTTAGATATGATTCCACAAATGGGTATCCACTGAGCTGTTAAACCAAGAAAAAGTTTGCAAGAATCAAACTGTCTACTAATATATAGGAAATAGTTACCGTCTCCTGCCCACTTGTAATATTTACATTATTTCTTATGTTAACATTCAAGATATAGTAGGGTATTTTAATAAAATGTATGGCTGAGTATTCTAGTAAATTTTCCCAAATAATAAAATTCAATGTAGCCCTGTAAGTTTATTTGATGGTATCATCTTTCTTTCCCTTCCTATCCAAAATAAGTACTGGAAGAGTCTGAATAGAGGGTAGCATGTTAAGTTATAGAGGATATTTTTGGTTTTGGGAAAAGCTGGGATTACATACTTATTTTGGATCTGGATACGTGTCTGCCATGCAGCACACACACAATGGCAGAACAGATGATAAATGAAGACTTCTGATTTATCTCAAATGGAAAACAAAAAACCAATATATTGTATATGTATACTGTATAATTTTCAACAGAAAGAGAACACATCCCTGGAAGCAACCTGTAATACAGACCTGGAGGAAGGAACTAAGTAAATCTGACCTGACAGAGATCCACAGAGAGGCAACAGGGACAAATACAAGGGAGAGGAATTTCTTCTGCTTGGTTGTTAATTGAAGGTGGCATTTTGAAAAGGGCAAGAAAGGGATGTGGGGGGAATTGGCCTAGGACAGGAATTACCTAAAATATTAAGAAGAATTAAAAGGGAAAATAAGACCTACTTTGATCTCCTTGTAACCAAACTGGCCACTGGGCTCCTGGTTATAGACTGAGGATGTGGTAGTGAAATAGTATCTAGAGGGAGTTCTTAACAGATCCTGGCTTTCTATTGCAATACCTCACAGCCTACATTTCATGGGCTAGCGAGCTATGGCTGCTTAGGGGATATTACATGAAGTAGGGCCTACTTGGGGAATGACCACAGTACAAACACTTTTATTAAGGTTAATGTTTCTTACATGTCATGAGAAGTCTTATCTAACATCTGAAATCACAGATCTTATATCCAACACAAACACAGGAAGAAGAGTAAGACTCATCCACGATCTCAGTGCACATTAGTTTTTGGTGGCCCTGACATTAATAGCAAAGCTGAATATTAGAAATTTGGAATGTTAATCAGTAAAAAGTAAATTTAGAAAGGGCTAAAAAGCTTATGATGAACATGGAATATCATAGAATATTATTTCCAAGGAATAAAAGCATACATTAATACATAAATTATTCAAATAGGAGCTCAGTCCTTGTGTTTAGTATCAAGCAGCTTTTGAGAGCAGCCATTTTGCCTATCACATCTTTACTACAAAACCGCTTTACTTTTTGTTTGTGCTGTTTTTGGTTTGGTTTGATTACTTTGTGGTCAGCAGAAACCCATTGCAAGAACCTGGTCAGGATGCTCTGAGTCCACGTCTAGAGTATTAATCAGCAGCCTGTAACCTGAATGCTAATGGCAGTGAGGCAGGTGAGAGGCCAGGCCAGGTCTGAAGGTCTAAGTTAGTGGTTCACAACCTGTGGGTCACCACCACCCGAGGACCAAGGGATGCTTTCAGGGGGTCAAAAGTCCCTTTCACAGGGTCACCTATCAGCTATTTACAGTACAAGTCAGAACAGCAGCAAAGAAAATAATTTATGTCTGGGGTCACCACAACATGAGGAACTGTATTAAGGGTCACAGCCCTAGGAAGGCTGAGAACCAGTGGTCTAATGAAAGTTCTACAGAAGAGGTGAGGGATGGCCAGAAGACGAGCATTGCAGAACACAGCAGATGTGGGACAGAGATGGGAACACTTCCCACAGGCCTTGTTCTAAAGCTTGGATGTGGACAAGTCTGAGCAACATGGCGCACAAAGCTTGTGGTAACCAATCTATATGATTCAACTTAAGGCCCACTTCGAGACGTGGACCTGGGTGATCAAGGACCTGAGACAGGATAGCCCAGGGAATTAGAATTAAACCAAATACTAGTGTTATACTAAAAAAAAAAAAAAAAAAAAAAAAAAAAGGCACAATAGCTGGGTGGTGGTGGTGCATGCCTTTAATCTCAGCACTTGGGAAGGCAGAGGCAGGTGGATCTCTGTGAGTTCCAGGGCAGGCTCCAAAGCTACACTCTATTATGGAACAGGAGGCTATTCGCTAGTGTGGTAATCTAGCAAGTTTCTAAGGTGCTGTTTACCACACTAGATGAGTAAACTAGAACACCGGCAAGCGAGTGGAGCTAAGCTGGGAGAGACCCACACAGTTGGAAAGCAGCCAGAAAATGACAGAATGAGGCAAAATGTTGACACACATGTTTCAGTATTGACCAGAGTGTGATAAAGGTCACTCAGTCATTAGTAAAATAAACACTGGGGTCATTTTGTTGGGAAGAAGTTTGGGGTCTCATATATAAATCTAATCTCAGGAGATTTAATGAACCAATAAAGTAAAACACACTCAGTTTCAAAGAAAGGTTGTCAAGTAAAGTAAACATTTGAAACCCTACTGATGAGAATAAAGGGTTTAATAAAGGTGTATTGGTGATGATAGGTGATACATCAAAACTATTTTTATTTTTCAGTGCTGGGAAGCAAATCAGGGCCTTAGGTGTGTTCAGCAACCACTTTGAACCTGAGTCACATCCTCAGTCTGATAGCAGAACTATTTTTCAGAGAGAGAGTGCATATCTTTGGCACACTGTCACAATTTTGAAAATGAAGCAGGCACTGATGGTTGAGTGTGCTCTCACCCTTACAGAAAAACACAGGGCAGAAATGTGCTCGCCATCGGTTACAATACCTGGGTGGAGCCCACTTCCTTTTATTCACCGTTTCTCCTCCACAGTATGTTTGGAAACTAAACTTTAATGCTATCCTGTGACATAAAGCAGAAGCAGTAGCTCCACTGCCTCTCCTCTCACAGGACAGGTCTTCAGTGTGACAACCGCATTGAGACCCGAAAAACTACTGTGTTTTCCTGGCCAGTAAAATGAAAAGCTGTTAAGGCCATTTGCTAATGAAATTATGACACAGTCTTATGTTTAACTGAAAATGGATGTTTTTCCTAGAATACAGTCTGATCACGGTTTCTCCTCCCTCATTCTTCCCAGATCCTCCCCACCTCTCCAGGCTATCCAACTCCTCTGTCTTTCTCTTTAGAAAACAGACAGGCCAATTAAACAAAACAAAAAACAAGTCACAATAGAATACAACAAACTAATAAGCAGAGTGGGAAAAAGAAATAAGGAAAAGGCATGAGAATCTCTTTCTCTCTCTCTCTCTCTCTCTCTCTCTCTCTCACACACACACACACAGAGCAAAACACATAAAAACACAAATTAGAAACTATTATACAAAGAGATTAGTAAGGTAAAACAAACAAACAAACAAAACAACAACAAAAAACACGCAGACAAAGTAATATGAGAGAAAACACCTCCAAAATTAGCACCGAGTTGGTTTGGAGTTGGCCTTCCACTGCGGGGCCTGGGGCCCACTGTTAAGTGCAGTTTGTATAGGCAGACTCCACTGCAGAAAACTAAAGTTTCCTTTACAGGTGGCTGTCAATTAGCTACCTTCTTTGTTGGGCAGGGGAGATCACATCTACTTTCTCTTCTCAATACTGGGACCCCACCTGGCTTGGACATGTGCAAGCCCTTTGCATGTTGCTATGGTCTCTGTGTTCATAAGCAGAACATATTTATATACCCCTCCAGTTAACAGACTGAAAGAAGTTAGAGTCGTTCCATGGAAGTCTATCATGCTGGAGTCACTTCTGGCTTCATTATCTGTGAGCAGGGGCCTGCTGGGACACGAGCTTGGTCAATTAGAAGAGGAGAACACTATATGTTCTTCAACTTACTCATTTCTTCAGTCATTTCCATTTTCATGTTTTCCTTCTGGAAATTCTGCATTGTTTGTAGTGTCTTCTGTGGATCCATCTTCTTGTTGACTGCCTGCATTGTCTTTAAGAAATGAAGAGTCATGTCAGCTACCTAGTTGTGAAAGCCATCTATGGAGTAAGTCTAAAAGCAGCCACAGCAAATACAATCTTCTGACTGACCTAGTGTTAAGTCAAAGTCAAAAACATGTCTGTGGAAGCTAACAACTGAAATCCACTTAAGAAGGTAGACTCAGGGGGCTGGAGAGATGGCTCAGAGGTTAAGAGCACTGGCTGCCTTCCAGAGGTCCTGAGTTCAATTCCCAGCAACCACATGGTGGCTCATTACCATCTGTAATGAGATCTGGTGTCCTCTTCTGGCCTGCAGACATACATGCAGGCAAGACACTGTACATAATAAAGAAATCTTAAAAAAAAAAAAAGAAAAAAAAAGGTAGACTTAGTCTCCACTACAGCTCTGTCCGCACACTGACCTTTATCTCCTTAAAGGTGTGTACTCTCCCCGGCACAGGACTGTCACACACTCTTAAGTGCTCCTCTCTACTTTAAGCAATCTGAATAAGTGCCATTTAAAAGTCAAGAACTTCAGGTGGTACTTCCTTCCTTCCTCCCATTACAAATGGAGAGAAAAGGCACCGATGGCTCAATAATTTGCATATGGTCTCACTAAGCTGAGTGTCAGCAAAGTTTTAGAGGCCTGCACACACTGCATCTTCTGTAACCTGCCTCTTAAAGAGACTACAAGCTCCCTCAGGTCCTGGCTTAGCCATTCCATCTGAACTACCTGAGTACCTCAACAAACACTTGCTGGCCAAATAGCACATTCTTGAGTCATTTAATTAAAAATTCCAATTCAGATACCCATATCTGACAAAAGCTATTAGATATAATTTCTGAGCCGATCATTTACAGAAAACTATAAGGTAACTGACCCTCTCAACACTGGTACAAAGTTATCAGTCCAACTATGTGATCTTCATATGACCTTGTCCCCTAAAGTCAGACTTTAGTTCTGCCCATCTGCAAGTCTACAAAGGAGATCAAAACTACTTGTTTTTGTGTATTTTTATCAGTGACTGAAATGATCAGCATCTTTAAAATCAACAGTTACTGGCTGCACACACACACACACACACAGAGTGTATATATATTCACATAGAATTAAATGTAAATTCCTGAAATCCAAAAGTTTTCATAGTCATATGTGTGGTTCTGAATATTTACAAAAGTGAGTCAACAGGAAATTATTATTACTCAAAAGTAGTCATAAATAACAATAAAAAAGAAACCCTTAAATTTCTTGAAATTTATTGAAAAAAACAAACACTATTCTAAGTCAACTCCATATAAACTTTGAAGCTCCATGTGATTTTGGAAAATGTAAATGTCCTGAGCACACCAATAACTAAGCCAGAATCAATTACTTGGATTCAACTTATTTTATTAATAACTAAGATTTTTATAGCACAGATATTTCAGAAAGTACTTTGAAATCTAATTTGAATATTAATATTTATACATCCTTGAGAAGACACCAAAGCTGCCAGTTACCTTTGCAGTGGTAGACATAGCACCGGCCATCTTCATCTGGGAGTTCATCACTTTTGTTTGTGTGGACATAGACGTGACTTTTGAGCTTACAGCAAAAGTTCTTGTCTTCTGTTTCCGTAGATGGACAAGCTGCTTAGCTAAAACCCTGCAAGCTTCTTTATTACCAATCTTGGCCATCTTCTTAATTTCTAATTCCTAAGAAGACAAAAAAGGGAAGGGGCTAAAATGAAGAAGTAGTCCTCAGTGATCATCCTGAAGAACATATCTAGTAGGCGTGAAGTCATAGAGAGGAAGGTTGCCTGAGAGGCTATGTCACATGTTCACACAGGAAGAACTGGTACCCTCATTTGTGAACATAAAACAAGCTTATGAAATAGTACGTGCATAGAGCCCAGGAGAAAATATAAAATGAAAATCTAAAACTAGGTAAGAAAAATAGTATGATAAAGAAAATAAAGACAGAGGTAGTAAAGTTAATGATACCGATAACTGCATTGAAACAAATGGTCCATCTTATATGTCAATTCAAAAGCAAGTTCTGGAATATACAAGAGCAAATCTAATTATATGCTATCTCTTAAACATAAGAGCATAAGTGTCTTAAAAAGTAGAAAATACATTATATTTTCCAAAGTCTGCAAATATGGGGTGGCTATAGTAATATCAGATCAAATAAATTTAAGAACAGATATTTCCAGAAGTAAAAATTATCATCTCATGATGATAAAGGGACTAAATCATAAAACTATCAGGTCAATCCTAAGTGCCTACACAAGTGTTAACTCTGTTTCACAATATGTTGATCACAACTGAATGTTGTGAATAACGTTAGAAAATATTTCTTATTTCAGGTTTAAAAAGATGCTCATCCCTACTTCTCTCCATTGTCCATTATAGTAGCAAACAGATAAATTAGGAGGCATGCCTACAACAGAATGATACCCATCATATACGTGGCAGCAGAAAGGAGCTCATTGTGATTCTACCTTCATACAATTTTAGAAACAAAAATGAATCTAGGGACCCCCATGTTATTCTCACTGAATAAAGGGAGACAGTGAGGATGGATAAGAGGGACTTCCTAAGGCATTAGAAGTTTGGGGGAACAATGTCTGTGTTCATTGCTTTCTCTAGAGTAACAATTTCAGGGAATATACGTAAAACAAAGTATCACTGGAATATTCTAAATATGTACAATTTATCCATGTCTCTGACAGCTCAGTAAAGCTGCTTTAAGACTGGGGCAACATGCACATGAAATAAAATTTTAAGATGAGCCATATCCATCTAATTAATAATAAACTGTCATGGAACAATTATCTTTAGAAGACCACATAAGACACCTAGGTGTTACGATACTATTTCTTATTTTCTTTTGTTTTCCTGACTATTTTTATTTTTAATGTCAATTACGAAGGTAAAGGTCTGTGGGTTTTTTTGTTTTGTTTTGTTTTGTTTTGGTTTTTGGTTTTTGAGACAGGGTTTCTCTGTATAGTTTTGGAGCCTGTCCTAACACTCACTCTGCAGACCAGGCTGGCCTCAGATTCACAGAGATCCGCCTGCCTCTGCCTCCCAAGTGCTGGGATTAAAGGTGTGAGCCACCAACACCTGGCTGGTAGATCTATTTTAAGAAATATTTATTCCTAGTCATTCTAGGAATGAAATAATTTGATTTTGCATCAACAGAAAACAGAATTCTGATAAAGTTAACAAATGATGCAATAACAAAAGCAGAAAAATCAGCAAAGGATGAAGAGTTGCTTCTTACAAGTAAATCATCTCTCGTTCATTGCTTTTTTTGAATCAGCTAATTATTCAACAGTAATTTCCAAATTACCTTTGAAGTTTTGCTGAGATTCAGTGTTCTACTCACCAGCTGTTTTTCTTGTTTCTCCAAGGCTGCTCGGTCCCTGATTATAGCCCTCTGAGTGCCTCGCAGCTCTCGGTTCTGTTCCTTTATCACATCTAGGAGAGGCACAAAAGAAACTCGAATTTATGACTATAAAAACTGCCTCAAAATTGCTTACCATACTAGACTAGGGGAATGTAATAAAAATGGAAACTTTCACTACATGTTAATTTTTTCTTTCAACTTAATATACTACAAACTAATCAAATATTAAAATACCTATTATAACCATAGATTATATAAATAGAGAGGTTTGCTTAAATATGCAGTACTTAAAACTTTATCTTAGAGAATTATTATATAATTATGGCACACGTAACAACCTCCCCAACCCCAACCTCACACACACACACACACACACACACACACACACACACACACACACACACACACCCCTTTTCACCTCTCTACTCCAGTACTATGTGGACTTCAGAAAGGAACACACATTGTATAGTTTATTGGGCATTTTTTTTTGCATAGTTAAGTCTTATATGGTATGAAACAACAGATTTTCCAATGAAACAAATGCAGATTTTAACTACAACTCACAAAATGGGAGACTTACAAAGACTTAGAATATATATGACAGAGGATTGCTATCAGGAATACATGAGGAACTCAGTAGCAAACAGGAAGTGATGTAGCTGGCCAGAAATGGGATATAAGCAGGGAGAAACAGGAAATCACTCTCTCTCTGCTGAGATGCTTAGGAGGTTAGGTGTGCTGTGGTTTGTTCCTTCTCTTTGATCTCTCAGCATTTCCTTCTATATCTGACTCTGGCTTTATATTATCTAGACCAATTAAAAACTCTTTTTACAAATACCTAAACAACAGATCTAAATAGGTATTTCTTGAAACAATTATACTAGTGAGCAATAAGTTAATGAAGAAATTCTCAACACTAGTTATCAGGGGATACAAATATAAGACAGATGTAGACTCTGAGTGGGGATGACTATTAAGGAAGAGGTGGGGGGCCAGGGAGGGTGTGAAGAAACGAAACCCTTACACGCTGCTGGTGGAATATGTAAATCACTACAGACATTACAAAAAACTGAGTTGAAACTCCAAAATAATTAAAATTTTAGCTACTACATGATTAGCAATTCAATTCTAGTTATATAGCCAAAGTAAATGAAATCAGTACAATAGTGACATCTGCACTCACATTTTTAATGCAACACTATTCACAATAGTCAAGAAATGGAAGTAACCTAAGTATCCATTGCCTGACAATGTAGAAAGAAATGTGGTATGCCTTTCTAATGGAGTATTATTTACATGAATAAAATTGTCATTTGTGACAACCTTGATAGAGCTAGAGTCCTTTGGAATTGACAAAGGACTACCTGATTGCACCAGTATATAGAATCTAAGAGATGTTTCCACGGACACTAAGACAAGTATGGGGGTTTCCAAAGGCTGGGGATTGAAGAAGGCCGAACAAGGTGGAGACGGTATTCTATTACAGTTTGAGTGGAAAAGTCACCAAAAGGCTCGTGTGTTTGAAGAGCAGGCTCCAGCTAGTGACATATTTTAGGAGGTTTGGAGAGATGGAGTCTGGCTAGAGCAGCAATTGTCAACTTGTGGGTTGTAACCCCTTTAGTGGCTGTACAGATATCCTGTCTATCAGATATTTATATTACAATTCATAAGAGTAGCAAGATTACAGTTATGAAGTAGCAATGAAATAATTTTATGGCAGGGGGTCACCACAACATGAGGAACTGTATTAAAGGGTCACAGCATCAGGAAGGTTGAGAAGCACTGGGCTAGAAGAAAAATGCTTAGGGGTCTTTTAAGTTACAGCTCAGCCTGGTTCTGGTATGAGCTCAATACTTCCTAACTACCAAAGGGATGTGACCAGCTACTGTACACCTCTGCTATTCCAGTGCCAAGGTCCTCCTACCTGCATTCCTTTCCTGCCTTGCTAAGCTGCTTCTTTCCGGTATTTTATGCTTTACTGATACAGTTCTAAGTTAAATTAGATGTGAGCAAGAAGGTTGGTGTGCTACTATACTGCAGATAACAGTGGTGTACTGCTCAATTCAAAGAGCTAAAAGAAAGAAGTATGAAGAGTTTTACCATCTGCGTAGACAGATATAGCTAACCAAACTTAAACATTTCATAATGTATGTATTGAAATGACACCTCATTTAAGATGTACAATTTTTGTTTCTGTATCAGTTAAGAAACAAAAAAAGAATTTTAACAGGAAATCAAGAAGTTAATCTACTGACAGTTAAAGGGTGGGGGATGGACACCAACTCCATCCCGAAATCCTTGGCTTGACTCCTAGCCCTTTCTAAGAACTCAAGGATGGTGGATTCTATCAACTGGACTATCACAGCTCATCACAGAAGAACGCAAGCCCACACTTCCCAACTGGCAACCACTCTGTTGTGCTCCCAGGATGGTAGAGTAACCAGAGCAGCTGCAGAAACTCTACAGCCTGTATTCCATCTAAGAGTCTCTTCATGTCCCTCTTCCCGTACAACATTCTTCATGATAAAATAATCAGAGGAAACAAGATGTCACTTTCTTGGGTTCTGAGAGTTGAAGATCGAGCTGTAGACTATGCAGTCAGAAAGAATGAGGATCTGGGACACATGAACCCATCTATAGTAGAGCAGTCTCTAGAGGGGTCCTTATACCATGAGTGTTCTAAGGCTGGATAATCAGTGTCCACACTCAAATGCTGAGTTAAATACCCAGTTACTGTCTAAGAATTAGAGTCCAGGCTAAATAAGGATATCTTAGATTAAAAAAAAATTATAATGAAACCCAACAGTTTAATAAATGATAATTCAGTTTTACTTTAATTTTATATAACTGTGCATACATTAACTGACACTATATCATACAAGAAAAAATAAAGAAAATTAACTACTGCCTATTCTACAGCCTCACAGTTGTTAATAGACCTATTAATATTTAAGCAGTGCTAAGCTATAAACTCAGAGCATCTAATGTTACATACTAAAACATAATCATAACACTTTAAAGCATATTATGGTAAGTAGGAAGAGACAGTAAAATGTCTTTTCATATGAGGCAACAGGAACAGTCTATAAAACAAACAAATTACCCCACCATTTTCCTTATGTACTCCATATGTGAAACCCACATTTAATGGTTTGGTCTTCTAGATAATTCAGAATGAATAATATAAAAAGACTGAGATATTTTTAATGTCTTAAAGGTCAACTTTATTTTTCACTTGACTTACTTCTTAGTAGATCTGATTCCATCCTAAGATATGAGCTCTTTAAGAGTGGAGGATACATACCATATAAAAAAAACAAATCAAGCAAATAAATCCCTGAGATGTCTAAGCTTAATTTCAGGGGTAGAAGATGAAAGAGGGAAAGATGGGATAGGTTAAGCATCAATGATAATGAAAACTGCTTCATAAATGTGAATGTATTACAATTCGTGTGTATGTATGTGTGTGTATGAACTTGTAGAGGCAAAGTCAACTTCAGTGGTTTTCTCAGGAGCCATTCACCTTGTCTTTTTCTTTTTCCTTTTTTAAAATTTAAATTAGAACCAAGCTTCCATCACATGTCAATCCCAGTTCCCTCTCCCTCCCCTCCTCCCCTGCCCCCCACCAACCTCCCTATCCTATTCCCTTTTTGCTCCCCAGGGAGGGTGAGGCCTTCCATGGGAGATCTTCAAAGTCTGTCATATCATTTGGAGCAGGATCTAGGCTCTCCCCCATGTGTCTAGGCTGAGAGAGTGTCCCTCTATGTGGAGTGGGATGCCAAAGTCCATTCGTATACCAGGGATAAACACTGTTCCACTACCAGAGGCCTCATAGACTGCTCAGGCCTCCTCAATGACACACATGCTCAGGGGTCTGGGTCGGTTCTATGATGGTTTCCCAGATATCACTCTGGGATCTATGAGCTCCCCCTTATTCAGGTCAGCTGTTTCTGTGGGTTTCTCCAACACAGTCTTGACCCCTTTGCTCATCACTCCTCCCTCTCTGCAAACGGATTCTAGAAGTTCTGCTGAGTGTTTAGCTGTGGGTGTCTGCTTCTGCTTCCATCAGCTACTGCATGAAGGCTCTAGGATAGCATATAAAGTAGTCATCAATCTCACTATCAGGGAAGGACTTTTAAGGTAGCCTCTCCTCTATTGCTGAGATTGTTAGTTGGGGTCAACCTTGTAGATCTCTGGAAATTTCCCTAGTGTCAGATTTCTCTTTAAACCTATAATGGCTCCCTCTATTACAGATCCCTCTATTATGGTATCTCTTTTCTTGCTCTCCTCTATTCTTCCCCTGACTCAATCTTCCTGCTCCCTCATGCCCTCCTCCCCCCCCCTTCTCTTTCTCCTAACTCCTTCTCCTTTCCCCCATGCTGTCAATTTGCTCAGGAGATCTTCTGAGAAGGGTTTCTCCCTGGCCTAGGGATCCCTTAAAGAGCCACACAGCTAGGCAGGGGCCAGCCAGCCCCTGGAATCATTGTGCCTGCCTTCTCCTCTCCAGCCTTGTCATTACAAGTGCTGCCACAGTGTCTGGCTTTTAGTGGTTTCTCAGATCAAACTTCGGTCTTCACACACTTCGCATCATAGTCCTATGTGTTAAAACATGAAATCCTATCATAACTCTAGGCAGCATGTGTCCTGCTTGTAGACCCAACCACTTTAAAGGTAACATTTCCTTTTTACAGAATGTTTCACACCTGAACTTTGCACAATTCAACAATGCAATGCAGGACTCGTGTAAACAGCTATGCTTTCCTTCCTTAGATTTTTTCAGTTTAAAATACCGTAGCTGTAGCTGTAAGCCTGTGAACAATTTCCAACTGCTATTCAGCTTTGCAACAGCAAGTTGCAGAATCCTGTCTCAGGATGTGGCCCTTTCTGGATACTACCTATGAGAGCTTTTATTTCAGATTCCCCAGCTCATATAGTTGGTTTCAGAACATACAGTTGTATGTTTGTCTGTACTGCCACAATATCAAATATTATATCTAGTAGTGATCTTATGACACTCAGTATCATGATACATAAAGGGAAATGGCTATCAAGCGTATTTAACTTATTACCT